TATACATAAGAAGAAACATCTAGGATATTAACAAAATACTTATATCAGTACCATGATTGTGGGCTCTCTGATCTGTTCTCACCTATGCAGAAACAGTGCATAGATATAATGAATTCAGATGGTTGCAGAAGGCTATTATCCACCCCATCCTCATTCCATGTTCTGCAAAACAAGTTGCAATCATTTGCCAATTGCCATAGGACTCCTAAGGTAAGGACTATCTCACAGCAGGTATTAAGAAGAATTTTAAATGTCCACAGCAAGGTGTTAAAAACTGCTCTTGATTTTATGCATATAGTATAACTGCTTTTGTATTTTATGAAAATGACTATTGAGTACTATAGGTGTCTTTGACTGTAGCCATGGCCAAATAGAAAATGGCATTTTAATTTCTCAAAAAAGTATTAGCAGTGGGGCCTTTGATAAAGTGTAGTGGTATATCTGCACATGTGTATTTTATTTAAGAATATACAGAAAAGAGATAATATAGCAGGCTTGAGACTACTACCCTTGAGGAAGGCCTGGCAGCAAGTTTGGCCCTTGGCAGGTATCTGGGAATTGGAATGGTCACAGTTCCAGAAACTGAAAAGAAACTTCCCTAAGTGACACGAGTGGCTCCCTGCACCTAGATTTACTACAAACGACATGGCTTATGCTGAACATTTGCTTTTGTTGTGGGTATCTCAGATTCTGGTATGTGCCAGATAGAAGATGTATATCTGATCCCAATAAAATCCTTGGGCCTTGAGTTTTTACTGTACTTCCCTGGTAGACAACATTTTATCTGTGTTGCCAAAATTCATTGCTGGAGAAATAAAGTTTGCCTTTTGACCCCTTTGGGCAAGGACTCCTGAAAGTTTGTGCTGGTTTCCTCTGGACATTACTGTAAATGCCTTCTCCCTTTGCTGATTTCACTTTATAAACTTTCTTGTGAGATACCTTACAATGGAGGTACTTATTACAATGTAAGGTATTCATTCCCTGAGTATCACTATATGCTGAACTTTGTGAATCTTCCTAGTCAATCACCTAACCTGGGGGTCTTGGGGACCCTAGGCACAAAAGGGAATAGTCATTTGGCTGCTAATCAACCATACTTCACTTCATGTGAATGTGGAAGGCCCTTCATGAAAAAACATTAACCGATTCTTTTTGATCATTCTGTGTATACCTAGGTTTATAACTTGATATTTTGTATAGTGTCTTCTTGTACATATTTGGTGGTCATTAAAAATGGAATAAAATTTTAGGAGCTAAAAACTTCTTTTTAATTACATAAATCAAAAATTCTTGGTTTCCACACAGCTATTACTTGCTTGCCACCTTATTTGCAAATATCATTTTTCAGTACAATGTTAACCTTTGCATTTCTAAGAGTAATGAAGCCAGATAGAGTTGCTGTGGAAACCATTACTGATTCTTGTTATAGAGTATATAGCACTGAGGTATTAAATTTAAAGACTATATACAGAAACTCAGCATATGTATTGCTAGGATGAGGCATAGTCAATGTGGGAATTGTAAGAGTTTTCTGTTAACTAGGCATTTCTAAACCTGAATCTTAATACGGTATGAATAATTTGACATTTAAATACCACCTACTCTGTTTTTTATTAAAGGCAAAATATGTGTAGGAGAGAATCTAACAAGCTGATTGATCATCTTTCTGTGCATTGAAAAGTATCAGTTTGAGCAAAAATACTATAAATAGAGAAAGAATGTAACAATCTAATGTTCAAATGTACATATGTTAGTGAACTAATCACTTTATTAAACTTATTTATTTGAACTTTGATAAGTCAATGATACCTATAATCTTTATATTAATAACATGGTTTCAGAAGATATACTCAACATAAAATACTGTTGCATAAAATAACACGCTTTTGAAAAAATCAGAAAAATTCTGAATGAAAAGTATGTTTTTAAATATTTGACTACACTAAAACCATTAAGAAATTTTAAATACAAATATACGATCTGTAAGACCAAAACTGGATTATCAAAGACATGAACAATTAAAAAATTTGAAAACAAGTTAGTCTCCAATTTGACTTTTAGCTGCTAAACAGAGAGACAATAATGCTTTATAATGTGGATAGAGACAACTTCTAGTTTGAATCTGAGTGCCTTAACAGGTGGTTTTAGTGGAAAATGTGAACATGATTTCATATTTACATAATACAGATCCTAGGGATCACTCAATAATGTTTTATTTTCATGAATTCTACTTTAGATGAGAAAAGATAATAAGAAATGAAAACAACTCTATATCCATTATGGGGAGAGATAATCTGGCACCTTTAGTTAAAAACAGCAGTATTAAAAAAAAAAAAACAGCAGTATACCAAACACCTTATCATATCTAATAAAAAAGAAAAAAGAGTCAGATATTGTGATATAAAATTTTATGTTCCTATTCTGAGATGACCAGGATTTAAACTGTTATAATTTTAGAATATATGCATATTTAAATTTTACCCTAACATTGGATCCTAAATGTTAAAGTTTGATGTGAACATATTCACAAATAGCCCAAAAAATTTTTACACAGTGTACAATGTTTGACAAATAGAGGCCTATTTACACAGATGAAGATACACTTGTTTTAATGAAAGTAGTTTTCCTAAGTGAATAAAATTTAGTTATGACAATAGCATCCTGTCAGAAAATTTGACTCCTCCTATGAAGTTTCCCTGGAGGCTCAGATGGTAAAGAATCTGCCTGCAATGCAGGAGACCTGGGTTCGATCTCTGGGTTGGGAAGATCCCCTGGAGAAGGGAATGGCTACCCACTCCAATATTCTTGCCTAGAGAATTCCATGGACAAAGGAGCCTGACAGGCTACAGTCCATGGGGTTGCAGAGTCAGACACGACTGAGCCACTTTCACTATGAAGTTAAGGATGTTTAAGCAATATAGTAAAGATTCAGAAAGTAAAGATAAGAAATCGGAAGCCTAGAGATCTACAAGTGTAGCAAGGACAGCAGTAACACGTAATTACCTAAATATTTCATTCTGCCTTTCTGTATTACTTTAGTGTAAATCTTTCAATACCTAGCTTAAATATCTCTAAGAGGTATTCATTTTTCACCTTTGACATAGTTTAAGTATGTGCTCTTTAGTAAGTCCCCTAGTTTGTGAACACTGCCACAACGTAGAACTTTCCCCCTTAAAATGCAGTAAAACAGAACTGAAAATCTTGTGATATCTGTAGACTGCATATACACTATGACATATGGAACAATACTGTGTTGAGATGTGGGTTCTAGGTGACTGGAGAGACTCATTCTATTTGTGTCTTATCCCTAAAGCCTAGCTATACAGTATCCATAATTTAAATTTGAGACTTGGTAAAATAAGATAAATTACATTATGAATAATCAGGGTACCTTTTGAATAGCTGATATTATGAATTTTAAGTTCATGAATAATAAGGGTCAACTTTCATATTAAATATAGAGGATGAATCTGGTTGAGATACAAAGTAACAGATTTTTCTTTTTTTCCTATCACTTTTCAGATTCTTTAAGAGTTTGATCAGATTTATTTCTGCTTTGATGTTGTTGTTGTTTAGTCACTTAGATATGTCTAACTCTTTGCAACCCCATGGACTGTAGCCCACCAGGCTCCTCTGTCCATGTGATTTCCCAGGCAAGAATACTGAAGTGGGTAGCCATCCCCTTCTCCAGGGGATCTTCCCGGCCCAGGGATTAGAACCAGGGTCTCCAGCACTGCAGGCAGATTCTTTACCATCTAAGCCACCAGGGAAGTTTAGAAAGCCACACATACAAAACAGTCAATTGAATCACATCTCAAGGTAATGTCATGTCAAGATTGATGTTATGTGATCAAAAGCAAGCAAGCAAATGAACAAAAACTAATAGAGCATACCACATGGAGGAATAAGAAAAAGGAGGAAACTCTTCCTTCCCATGAATTCTGTCAAAAATGTATAGAAGGTCTTCTAGGAATTTTTGAAAGTCTAGTTTCTTTTCTTCATGGTGAGAAGAATCAGGCTCATCTCTACTTAAACTGACAGCAGTATTTTTAAAAAGGACCAGAGGTATGAGTTAAGAGTCTATGGCTGACTTTAAACAAAATATTATTGAAAAACAAAATTAGGAATTATAAATGCAAAAGAAGAAAGGTTAGTATAGTTTTTCAAAATGTAAGATACTCTGACTTATAATATATCTACTCATATTCAAGAAAAACTAATGTCATTTCCATTATCTGCTAAAGATCAATGGCAATTACAATCATATTAATGTGAAAAACCATTAACATCATTTCTTTGAATTCTCATCTTAAAAGGCTTATCTAGTCTATAATTGGGGCTTCCCAGGTGGAGCGAGTGGTAAAGAACCCGCCTGCCACTGCAGGAGACATAAGAGACACAGGTTTGATGCCTGGGTCCAGAAGATCCCCTGGAGAAGGGCATGGCAACCTACTCCAGTATTCTTGCCTGGAGAATTCCATGGGCAAGAGGAGCCTGGAGGGCTACAGTCCATGGGGTCGCAGAGTTGGACACGACTGAAATGATGTAGCACACACATTTTATAATTATTTTCAATTTTGTGTTGTTTGACATAATTTAAACAAGTCTCTCCTAAAAAAGCAAGGGCATATAAAGACAGCCCCTAAAACTTCTCTCCAAGCAGATATCAACATGAAGTAACTAACAATTTTTATTTATTTGAAGAAAGAAGAACTATGGCTATGATCCTGATTTTACAAGTGATAATAATGATGGAAATTGCTTTATTATTTTGTTAATGTTTGTAAAATTGCCCATTTTTACCTAAAAGACTTCAATGATTCAATATTTACTGTATCTTAAATGAGTGCTAGATATAAGGGCAGAGTCCATGGATATTTTGATATTTTTCCCAATTTAGGGTAATATCCAGATGATATCAAATAGTTTCAATCTATAATGCTTAAAACTTATGTGGAGAGATAATCAGTAATTAAGGAATAATAAAATGTATTACTTACCTTTCCAGAAACAATTTTTTCATAAATCTGAATTGGTTGGTCTGCAAAGAATGGGGGGTAGCCAGCCGCCATTTCATAGATTAACACTCCTAATGCCCACCAATCCACTGCCTTATTGTAGCCCTAAGATAAACCAACACCAAATGGCAATCATTACTTAATTCACTCAGAGGAGAATGAAGTCAAATTATTCCAAAATGATCTTCAAGCATATGAAATTTTTAAAAAGGCAGTTGCTGAGCAGTTATTCAGGATAAAATAAAAAAGAAAATATATTACATCAGATTTGAATTAAACAAAGGGGAGGGTTTCCAGATATTGAAACTGAATATTAAGAAATACTATTAAATCTTCTTCCTAAAATCATTAGGATTAGAGACAATAAAATATGCCCTGTTTAATTGGGATAATTTAGTTTTTGTTCAACAATAGGAAGGGAATTGGATGAAATTACCTCTTAAAGCCCAAATTATTGTGTAATATTATGAATCAGATTTTCTAGAGAATACTTAGGAAAGGTCAAAAGTTTTGAAATGAAAGAGTAGATATTGTACTTCATGATAAATGCTTAAGCTGACTTCAAAATATATTGGTGGGTTTAGGAAGGTGAATATATTAGGGATAATCCCATCAGATCTTATTAAAACTAAAAGCTTAATGTGGAACCTAATGAATGTAAATATTTAAGTAAACTATCCATACGCTGTTTTTGTTTCTCATCTCTAAAAGGTATACAGGAAAGATAACTAATTCATGGAGCTTTATGGGGACTATATCAAGTGAAAGGAAATAATGAATATACAAGTGTGTTATAAACCAAATGTACAATTCTAAGGTTATTCTTAATTGGGTTTTTTTTTCATGTTAAACTTACTAAAATTAAGATCTAGAAGTATTGATAAGAAAATAAAAAAGATAATATGTTTATATAAAATTTGATAATCAGTGTCAATTGGCACAAAAGATCATGGGGGGGAAAAAATACAACTTTATCATGGAGAGAAATGAACTGAATTCTTGCCAGATCGTTTGGTCTATCCACTTAATTACCTTCACCATTCTCTCTATTCCAACTTTTCATTAAAATTTTAGCTTTACAAATAATTTTATTTTCAAATTACTGGTTAAATATAATGATATAGAGATTCTATTTTTCTTTTTATTTCCTGCTTCTATATGTTTTTAAAGAGAGAGAGACTAGTAAAATAGGGATAACACTTTTGTTTTGCTAATAGAAATGGGCATCAACTATGCTTTTCTTTTAATGCAACTCACTAATAATATATTTACAATGTTTTTTGCTATAACGAAAGCATATAATGTTAAAATAGATCCTTTCACCAAGTTCTGATTTCTATGTTTTAGATTGTGTGCTAATGTTTATAATAAGTATGCCAGATGCTTTTAATATCCTAGTTAAAGAAAATTAAATCAATAAGAAAAACTAAATTATAATAGATAAATGGGCAAAGGACATGAATAATGACTCATACATACACATAAAGAAATACCAAATGGCCATTAAGCATTAAAAAATCTAACGATCAAAGTCATGAGACTTAAAATAATTTGATATCAGTTACTATCTATCAAATTAATACTGATCTTTTAAAACAAGAATAACCAATGCTGGAGAAAGTGTGGTGAAACAGATACTCCTCAAACACTGCTGAGAAGTGTAAAATGTTACAATCTTTTTGGAAAGTCCTTTGGCAATATGTATTGAAAACCTTAAAAATGTTTATATCCTCTGACCCTGTAATTTCACTTCTAGGAATCTATCCTAAAAATAATTTAAGATATAGAAAAAAGCTTTATGGACAAAGACATTTATCACAGTCATTTACAAAAGAAAAAAAGGGAAACAAGTTGAATATTCAACAACAGAAGAATGACAAAATACAAAATGGTGCATTTTAAAATAAGCAATTAAATTACATTTGCAGGCTAATTATTACTCAAGTGAGAAAAACTGAATACAAAATTGTACAGTCACTGAAACATGCATGTTTCAGGGCATGCACGTTTCATGAAAATGTTTTTTTAAAAAGGCTAGCTCTGGGTAGTGAGATTGAAAGTTTTTCGATTCTTTCTTTATAGTTTTCTATATTTCCCAAGTTTCAGACAATGAATATCTATTTCTATACACACACACACACACACACACACACACACCCCTTTCTTCAAGTTTTGGTGCTTACAGTGGCAACACATTATCTGTTAAATGTACTTAAAGTGAAGAAATGTTAGTGGCAATGACATTTAATCATAAAAGATTAAAAGTTATAGATGATTTAAATTATGAAAGATAGTGAAAGGAAAGCTGAAAGAATTAATTCTCTTATTCTAACACTTCTGTAGTATGCCAAGTTTCAATTATTCAGAGGGTAGTTAATCAGTGTATAAATATCAATGCATATATCTTATCCTTTTCTCTTTCCTGGCTTCTGTCTGAGCCATTACTATCAGTTCCTCCTTTCTAGCTTTTACTGCCAAGAGATGGAAGTAGAAAGGAAAATGAAAGTTAAACTACCCTTTTAGAAATGATTAAAAACTTCTCTCACCACATTTTCACTGTTTAGAAAAAGTAGAACTGTCTTCAATAAGATTATAACTATTTAATTGCTATAATGTTTCTATTTTTTTTTAATTTATTTTTATTAGTTGGAGGCTAATTACTTTACAATATTGTAGTGGTTTTTGCCATACAATGACATGAATCAGCCATGGATTTACATGTGTTCCCCATCCTGTACCCTCTTTCCACCTCCCTCCCCACCCCATCACTCTGGGTCATCCCAATGCACCAGCCCTGAGCACTTGTCTCATGCATCCAACCTGGGCTGGCGATCTGTTTCAGACTTGATAGTATACTTGTTTCAGTGTTTTTATTTTTAAACTAAAACTTTAAAAAGTAATTCACATACTTTTTTTTCACTTAAGTGGTAAAATTGAAACAACATGTTAGGGGAGTGTAAACTCCTCCTTTCTGTCTCTTCTCAACAAAAATTTGAAGCAATAGACGTTAAAGCTCTCGTTCTAACTACCTAACAAAAGGAAGAATAGACAACTAGTGCATATATATCATCTTTAATTTGCCTCTTGGTGTAACCCAGAGCAAGAACTCTCTGCCCTCCTGTTACTGAGAATAATTATGAAAAGGCTATGCTTCTGGTTTCAAAACATGGATCTAGAGGCCATATTTATTTAAACTAATTCTCTCAGCTCTAGAGTTAAAATCAATAACTTATGAGATTAGTGGCAGACTCTAAATAATTGATTTTTAGTAATTATGCACAAATATTTAAATTCATATTTAGATTAAATGAACATGTAAAATTAGATCATAACTTTTTTTTAAAAATAAAAGTCCACAGTGATGCATGCCTTATATTTTTACTTCTTACATAATGATACTATAAATATACCTTGCTGAGAATTATTTCTGGAGCCAAATATTCTGGAGTGCCACATAATGTCCAAGTTCTGCCTTTAACTCTTTTGGCAAACCCAAAGTCTGTGACCTATAAAAGACAAAAAGCCTGTAAACATTTGTTATTTCATAATAAATGTATTTACTGTACCTAAGTGGAAAGTTAAAAATCAGGGTTAAAATTAACACCTTGAAAAAAAATTAAGTCAATGTAATTGAGACTAATCCATGAAGGCCACTATTTAGTGAATAAAGATTAAAGCAACACCAATGTGGAAAACCATTCCCTGACTCAAAGAAACAAATGAACCAAAAAGAAGTTTCAATAAAAATGAAGCAGTGCTAGAAGTGGTCCTGAAGTCCAACATTGTCTTCTGCCCTTAATTATACATCAGAAGTTGCAAAAGCATCATTGGGAGAATCCTAATAACTGTGTAAAAAGGAGTGCCCCTGATCTACTGAGAGGAGAAACGGAAAGGAAACACTGCCACCAGTCCAGAATTGGTAGCTGGGGCTCCTCTGGTAACTGCACTGTAGAGTTAAAAAGCACAGAGTCTCAGGACAAGCTGATGGGATTCAAATTATGCTTTACCTATGTGACCTTGCAGTATCTTAGTTTCATTAATCTTAAAATGAGAATAACAATAGTATTTACATTCATACTGTTATCAAAATTAAAAGAGGTGACACATGTAAGACACTTAGAACGATGCCTGGCACTAAATGAGTACTCACAAATTTAGCTATTCTTTCTTTATGCGGGAGCCTGTGCACAACCTGTGCACAGTTCACAACTAGAGGAGATATAAACAGGTGCTATCTTTGATGGAACTTTTTGTCTCTGTAATAGCAACATAACTGTTAGCTCAATTTAAGCTATTAGGAAGAACTATCTCCCTCAAAGGGAAAAAAAAAATCCAATTTTGGTAGTTGTGGTTAAATATATATAACTTCTTACCTAGTATGTTCTCAAATAAATTACACATAATGTGTTCAAGTCATACCTGGATATAACCTTGGTGGTCAATTAAGAGATTTTCAGGTTTTAGATCTCTGTAGATGAGGTCTAGTGAATGGAGGTACTCGAATGTTAGCACTATCTGAGCTGCATAGAACCGTGCATGGGGTTCACTACGAAGAAACAAAACATTGATTTTTGGTAAAATGGGTTAACATATAGTAACTAGTAGATTACACAAAAAATAACATGAGGTAGAGGCATTTTGGGAGCAAAAAGATACATTTTTTCTTTTAAACATATGTAAAGAATCTTGTTAGTTTCCAAATATTTTAAAATCAATAAATCATCTTCAAATAATGCTTTTATACACTTAGTGAGCAGCATATGCTGAAGAAAAACTTTAACTCTCACATTGTCACTGTAATTTAAATTATTGTTGGCCATATTAGAAGATACTAGGAATGACTGAAAAGCACCAGTTAGATTGTCTATCAGGGCCATTGCTGTTGTTGATAAGCTCCATATACCTTTCCCATAAATTTCTAGTGCTTAAAGAATTTCTACTTTTATCTGCAGATTTAAGCCATTATACCCATGCTGTTACTATTACAAAAGGGATATATGCTCATTATAGAAAAAAAGTCATAAAATATTAATGAAGAATAAAGATACCAATAACGTCATTCAGAAACCAGATTCAATCCTGGTGTTTGAATTTCCAAATCTTTCACTATACATGTTTCTACAAGTATCTAAACATAGGTATAATCTGTATATTTACATAAATACACACAATTCTGGATGCATAGATTAGATTAACTGATTTGCTACTGTCGTTTAGTCACTGTTTAGTCACTCAGTCATGTCCAACTATTTTGCAACTCCATGGACTACAATCCACCAGGCTTCTCTGTCCATGGGGTTTTCCAGGCATGAATACTGGCGTGGGTTGCCATTTCTTCCTCCAGGGGATCTTCCTGACCCGGGGATTGAACTAATTAATTAACTAATTAAACTAATGTGTGTGTGTGAAAGTTGCTCAGTCGTGTCCAACTCTTTGCGACCCCATGGACTATACTCCAGGCCAGAATACTGGAGTGGGTAGCCTTTCCCTTCTCCAGGGGATCTTCCCAACCCAGAGTTCGAATCGGGGTCTCCTGAATTGCAGGCAGATTCTTTACCAACTGAGCTATCAGAGAAGTCTCCTGCATTGGCAGGTGAGTTTTTAACCACCGAGCTGCCAGGGAAGTACAGATTAATTGACAGATTAGGGTAATCTTGATGCCACATTCTAAGTATTATTCCAAAAGGATGTACTGATTTTCTAGTTTGAGTTTCTGGTTCATCTTCATTTGAATTCTGCTAATCTTCCTAGTATATTGCAATGACTTTCAGATTTGTGTCCTCAATGAACAACCTTAACTATGAATAGAATTTCCCTCAATATGGTTCATATGAGTTTGATTTGGTAGCACCAGAAATAGGAACTATAAAAAAAAGATTGTATATGCTGTTCCTTTTGCTTGTCACGTACTACATTTCCAAGGTCCTAGCCTGATACATACCAAGTGCCCAGCAAATATTTGTTAAATGAATGAATGAATGAATGAATGAATATGAGAAGAAAAACTCTTCTGTGGCAATATTTTATAATATCCTTCCATTTTCAGCCCTATCACAACACTGTAACAAGCTACAACACATGTCCTATGACAAGGAATTAGAATACTGTAAAGGAGACTGGAAGACTCACCCTGGTCATTGAAACATTTATCCCTAATTCTGTAAACATTTGACCTAGAAAGTCCCTTCCTATTTTCTTTATATGCCTGTTTGTATAAGATGTACTTTTATATTTATCATAATAAACATAAGATGCACTCAGCATTTTATATTTATGTCCACATTAATGTTTGATTGGAGGTACACAAACATTACATAGACCTTTAATCAAATTGTTGAATGGTAAGAGCAAAATATTCTATAAGGATAATTTAATGCTGTAGCAGCTTTAAGTCTAGACAGCTACTATCTAAGCAGAGAATCATAATGACTTCATTGATTCTGATTAATGCTATGCTCAACAATAATTCAGTCTTGTCTCAAAGTTTCTAAGGCTGGAGTTAACAATCTTTCAAGTGTATAAATAATGTGTGAAAGGTTAGAAAGATAGTGTCTCTTTGTGAATTATGCCAACCACTTGCTTTCCTCTTAGTATCAAGTATTAAAGAAAGAAGAGTGTGGGGAGTTGCAAAGAAAGGAAGTAGTCACAGAAAATGGATAAAATATTTTTTGAAGACAGGCTTAGGTATGGTAATTCAGTGTTAAACTTTAAATTATCATAGGGCAATTCTGGAATGCCTGGACAAGGAGTGTAAGACAGGACAACAGGGAGTTAAAACAAAAATCATTAAATAGAAGTTACTCTGCATTAGCTCAGTACTGGACACATATTGGATGCCCTATACATTAGGTTAACAAATGAATTGCGGTTTAGGCCTTAGGAAACTAAAATAACTCTCATATTGGCCTATTATGATGGTAATCTCATGGTAATCTCAATTCATATTTTTATAATATGAATTGAATTATCATCTTCAGTCATCTGAATTCATACTAGTGTTTTAATTATATCAATATATAGTATATTGAGTGAAGTGAAACTTGCTCTTGGTTTTAGCCTAATTCTAAAAGTGATTATTAATGAACAGTAGGAGCTTACAAAGTATTATGCACAGGTAAAGCTAACAGAATCTAAAAACTATTTTAATAACTGTGATCTTATTAGCAATAACTTAATGATAAGTTACTGCTTTTTAAAAAAATTACATACATATGTTTAAAACTGATACATATGTTTAAAACACACATATGTTTATGTACATTCCTATGTTTGTTACATATTTATACATATAGATATGTATAAGTTACATACATATGTTTAAAACTCAACATGGCAACATTAGGAGAATAAATTTGTGCAAAACAAACTTTCATAATTTTACCACCATGATACCATGATTATCTTTTCTATATATTTATTAATATATTTCTTACTTGTCTTCATACTTACATAAACCTCTTCCCTCAGAGATATATCACTAATATTTATTCACTAAATACTAGTTTAAATTCAATTAATTTTTACAGTATCTGGAAATTCTTCAAATAATGGGCTCTCATGATACCTACTAATGCTAGAATATTTACACTGCCATGATGGTGTTTTTAGTTAGTGTTTAGATGGTGTTTTAACTTTTAAAACTCAGTAATGTTTGTATAGCTAAAATACTGTTAATTTAAATGAAATAAATTTTTAGCATTGACAAAAGCTTATTTGGTTTAAGACAAACACATAGCATATAAGTACTTGAGAAGCATAAAGTATTAGTTACCTGAACCTTCCAATTCTTCTTAGATGTGAAAACATTTCACCACCAGGAACATATTCCATAACCATGTATAAATTAGAATTATCCTATGAACAAGTAAAAAGAATAAATAGATCAAAACTATGAAACCCAGATTATTTCTCATGAAAATATTTTAAGATGACACCATGTGTAATTAGAAAAAGACAAATTAAAAAATCTGATAGATTACTAACATCAGGAAATAGAGAATAAATAGAACATGCTCTAACTTTTCTACACTGGGGCACTGATTTTTTTTTTCCTGGTACTCTTGCCACAGATTGGTCTGGGATTTTTGCTGTTCCTACTCTTATAGGAGATACTCTACTCTTGAACAATTAAATACTGTGGTAATGACTTAATGCTATAGTGTAAGCAAAAGTTTGAAAATAATTTGAAAAAGAATATTTATATTTGTGCACTAAATAAGGTCAGAGAGATTAATAATTTTGAACAGCATTCTAAATACACAGGTGTTCATTTGATTTAATGAATAAAAGAAGACAAAGGAGAAAGGTTAAAATGTTCCATATTAATCCACTGGTAGAGAGATGCCAAGTATCACCTCAAATAGCTGAAAAGCTGCCAACTTAAAGGATAAATCTTTTGCAACTTTATAAAGTGTTTGAGCAGAGGGCCAAAGACTATTTTGCTTCAAATAAATGAAGAGGCTAAACACAAATTACAAGTAAAAGAAGACAGTGAGACTGCAGCAGAAAAGGTTCAAGAGGAGAAGCTATGTGGGTGTATCCATTTGTATGAGTGTAAGATGTGCTTAATAAGATGTCACTATGAATTTTAATAAACTGAAATACTTGATCTTATAATACCATTTCATGAAAAATTACACATTATCTTTAACAATTTCCTCAAGAACAATCAAAACCTTTTAAAATGTCAGCTAAGTTTTTAAGAACAACAGGACTTACATAAAATCTAAATATATTATTTTTTTGTTTATCCGTATTTCCAGCTTTATCATATAGATTAGAATCCTATTATAGCTTCATATTTAAAAAAATTTCAAGTTGACAATATTTTATTTGGATAGAAGTAAAATTTACCTTAAAAGCATATTCCAGTCGAACAAGAAAAGGAAAATTCACTGCCTGTAATATTCTTTTCTCATTCAAAGTATGCTCTATTTGCTTCAGTTTAACAACCTATAATTGAGAGGAAAAGATATATTTAATGTATTTGAACAAAATTTAAAAGTTGCTATAATTTAAAAAATGTATTTATTTTAGTTGGAGACTAATTACAATATTGTGGTGGTTTTTGCCATACATCTACATGAATACAGGTCTGGGACAACTCAGAAGGATGGGATGGGGAGGGAGGGGGGAGGGTGTTTCAGGAAAAGTTGCTATAATTTTAAAAGAAAAAAGTTTTCCATATAATAATGAACTTGCATAAGCAGGATTGCCAATTTAGATACAGATAATAATAATAACAACTACCAATGAGACTTATCAGATTCAAATGAAATACCTAACAGAGGTTTAAAATTTAGTCTTCAGAATGTCAAATACTATTTTCAGTCAAGAAGCAAGAGCTATGAAGAAAGAGGTTCATAATAAATTACCTAAAAAGTTAATATGTGACAATACTTGGGTCTTAATGACTTATTGGCCAGTAAAAGAACTGGCACAAATAGCTGTAATAAGTAGGTATTGATTTTAAATCTTGAGAAGATAAGCAAGAAAATTAAAGATTAAGGAAAAGTCAGTGATTTTTAAAAAGTGGGTAAAAATGAACAATCTGTTAATATCATTATATCTGAATAAATACAAAAACAAATTCTAAAACTTCAATTTGCACAGCCACAAAACATTGAAAAAAATGACTGTCTTTGTAACAAATAGGTCATTTAGGATTGATCAATTGATCAATTCTACTGGATAGTCTAATCAATCAGGTACATAGCAGGGAAAGCAACTTATCATGACCTTATGAAGACTGTGATTTTATAACACAAGAGGTTCTATTCTGAATTTAAGAAAAAAGGTGACTTTAGGGAAACATAAATTGTCTTGTATATGTATAAGTCATTAGGCAGTGGCATTTTTTCTTGATAGAGGCTTATTTTCAGTGTGGGGTAGTGACAGAACTCAAGAAGTTAAACATTAATAAGAAAGGTAATTAAAGGGCTTCCCTGGTGGTCCAGTGGTTAAGAATCTGCCTTGTAATGCAGGAGACACACTATGATCCCTGGTCCAGGAAGATTGCACATGCCTCGGAGCAACTAATCACATGCACCACAACTCTAGAGCCTGTGTTCCAAAATGAGAAGTCACTGCAATGGGAAGCCCATGCATCACAACTAGACAGTAGGCCCCAAATACTACAACTAGAGAAAGCCTGAGTGCAGCAACAAAGACCCATCACAGTCAAAAATAAAATATTCTTTAAAATCTTTGTATAAAAAAAAGGTAATCAAAAAAAAAAAAGGTAATCAAAGACACTGTCCATTATTAGGATATAAAATTACACTATAAAAATAATGCTGAGTAAAGAATAATTGACTGAGAGTCAGAAGACCTGTGTTTTAATCTAGACCTTCTATTCAACAAGCTTTGTGATGCTGGAGATATTGCAACTTGCTGGTTTTTTCTATCTGAAAACATGAAGTGGCTGAATCACTATTAGTCCATACTTATTACAGTAAATTATATAACATTAGCTGGAGAACTATCATTGCTTTGTGTTTAGTTTTTATTCATAGACTGCTTTTATTTTTTTTTAAAGCAGTTTCAGGTTTACAGCAGAATCAAACACAAAGTACAAGATTTCCCATATATCTTTTGCCCCCACACATGCCTAGCGTCCCCTGTTATCAACATTCTTCACCAGAGAGGACATTTGCTACAATCAATGAACCTATACTGACCCATTATTATCCTCATTAATTTGATCAGGGTTCACTCTTGGTGTTGTGCATTCTATGGGTTTTAACAAATGTGTTATCACATGTACCCACCATTATAATATACAAAGTAGTTTCACTGGTTTTGATATCAGGGTGATACTGGCCTCATTCAAAGAAGTCACAAGCATTCCCTCCTCTGCAATTTTTTGGAATAGTGTGAGAAGGATGGATGAAAACTCTTATGTAAATATTTGGTAGAATTCATCTGTGAAGACATCTGGTCCTGAATTTTTGTTTGTTGGAAGTTGGTTTTTTTTTTTTTACTGATTCATTACTGGTAATTGGTATGTTCATATTTTCTATTTCTTCCTATTTCAAGCTTGAGAGTGTACTTTTCTAGGAAATATCCATTTCTTCTAGTTTGTCCATTTTATTAGCATAGTAATCTCTTGTGATACTATGTATTTCTGTGGTGTCAGTTGTAACTTCTCCTTTTTCATTTCTGATTTTATTTGAGTCCTCTCTCTTTTTTACTTGATGAGTCTGGTTAAAGGTTCTTATTAATTTTGTTTTTCTTTTAAAGAACCAGCTCTTGGTTTCAGTAATCTTTTCTACTATGTTTGTTTTTTTAGTCTCTATTTCATTTATTTCTGTTCTGATCTTTATGATTTCTTTCCTTCTTCTAAGTTTGGGATTTGTTTATTTTTCTTTTTCTAGTTCCTTTAGGTGTAAGATTAGGTTGTCTGAAATTTTTTTCTTGTTTCCTGAGGCAGGCTTGTATCATTATAAACTTCCTTCTTAGAAATGCTTCTGCTGTGTCCCACAGATTCTGGGTCATTGTGTTTCATTTTCATTGTTTCCAGGTATTTTCTCATTTCCACTTTGATTTCTTCAGTGACCCAGTGGTTGTTTAGTAGCACCCTGTTTAGCTTCCATGTTGTTTGCACTTTTTTTTGTAGTTGATTTCTCATTTCATATAATTGTAGTCAGAAAAGTTGCTTGATATGATTTCAACATTCTTATACTTATTAAGATTTGTTTTGTAGCCTAGCATTAATCTATCCTGGAGAATTTCCATGTGCGCTTGAAAAGAATGTGTATTCTGTTAGTTTGGGGTGAAATTTTTCATATATAGGCATTAAATTCATCCAGTATAATGTATCAGTTCACACCAGTGTTTCTTTATTGATTTTGTCTCAATCCATTGAGTCATATAAGTGAGATATTAAAGTCCCTACTCATTTGTGAGAATAAACAATTTATTTTCCTAAAAAAAAATAAAGTCCCTACTATTAATATGCTACAATCAATTTCTTCCTTTATGTTTGTTAATATTTGCTATATGTATTTGGCTGCTCCTATGGTTGCTCAGTCACTCAGTCATGTCTGACTCCGCAACCCCATGGACTGCAGCGTGCCAGGCTCCTCTGTCCAAGGGATTTCCCAGGCAAGAATACTGGAGTGGGTTGCCATTACCTTCTCCACTCCTATGGTAGGTGCATATACATTTATAATTGTCATTACTTCTTGTTGGATTAACCCCCTTTATCATTATGTAATTCCCTCTTATTATAGTCATTGTTTTATAGTCTATTTTGTCTTAATATAAATATTCCTATTCCAGCTTTCTTTTCATTTCCATTTGCATGGCATATTTTTTTTTTACCATCTCTTCACTTACAGTCTGTGTGTGTCTTTAGATTTATAGTGAGTCTCTTGTAGGCAATATATACACAGGTTTTATTTTCTCTTTTAATCCATTCAGCTTTCATTCCATTTACACTTAAAGTAATTATTCAGTCCATTTACACTTAAAATAATTATCGATAGGTATGTACTTATTGCCATTTGGGTAACTGTTTTCAGGTTTTATTTTGTTCCTTTCTTCTTTTGCTCACTTCCCTTGTGATTTGATATCTATCTTTAATGTTATGTTTGGATTCTTTCCTCTTTTTTGTGTGTATGTATTATAGATTTTTGGCCTGTGGATACAAGTAGGTTTATATATAGCAATCTCTCTCTCTCTCTCTCTCTCTATATATATATATATATATATATATATATATATATATATATATCAGTTCAGTTCAGTCGCTCAGTAGAATGCATTAAAATTTAAGAGATATATATGGTTATTTAAATCGATCATCTCTTAAATTTTAATGCATTCTAATAATCCCACATTTTTACTTCCCCCTGCTAAACATTAAATGTTTTTAGATGCCACAAAAGACCTATTAAAACTAATAAATTATTTCAGTAAGGTTTCACAATATAAAATATATAAGAATATTTTGTGTTTTAATACTAAACTAAAAAACTATCACAAAGAGTAATTAAAACAGTCCCACTTACAATTGCATCAAAAAAAGTAAAACACCCAGATAAATCTAACCAAGGAGATAAAAACCTGTACTTGGAAAATGAAAACACATTGATGAAATAAATTACAAACGACACAAACAAATGGGAAGACACACTGTGCTCATGGATTGGAAGACTTAATATTGTTAAAATGGCCATACTACCCACAGTAATTTACAGATTCAATGGAATCTCTTATCAAAATACCACATGAAAAAATGTTCAACATCAGTAATTATCAGGGATATGCAAATCATAATCACAATGAGCTAATACCATATACCTATTAGAATGGCTATTATCAAAAAAGACACAAATAACAACCGTTGGCAAGGACATGGAGAAAATGGAACCCTCCTGTACTGTTGGTGGGAAGGTAAATTGGTAAAATCACTATGGAAAACAATAATGGGGTTCCTCAAAAAATTAGAACTATTACATGATCCAGCAATTCCACTTCAGAGTATTTTTCTAAAGAACACAAAAACACTAATTCAAAAAGATATATGCACCTCTGTGCTAACTGCAGTGTTATTTATAATAGTCAAAATATGGAAGTAACCTAAATGTCCATTAATGGATGGACTGTTAAAGAAGATGGAATACAATGGGATTGTACAGCCATAAGAAAAGAAGGAAATCTTGCCACTGGTGACAACACAGGTGGACTGAGAGGGTATGAGGGTATTATGCTAAGTAAAGTAAGTCAGACAGACAAAGAAAAGTACCGTCATGATGTCTCTTATATGCTGAATCTAAAAAACAAATGAGCAAACATAACAAAACAAACAGACTCATAGATACAGAGAACTCAGAGTGAGGGGGTTGATGGGCGAGTGATACAGGTAAGAGAGATTAAGACATACAAACTTTAAGGGCTTACAGAAGAAAGAGTTATGAAATAAATGAGTCACAGGCATAAAACACACC